CTGTCTTTGCTCTACCTGAATACTGACGTTGTTTTCAGCCACTGTACATTCTCAAATTCTTCTTTTATGGAAAAATTATTTACCCCATTCAAACACATCTTGATTTTCATCAAGTAAATAGATGAAAATCAGTTCAGGTGCATCTGGCTGTGAAGCATGGAGGCCTTTCAGGTATTTCAAAAAGAAACAGATGCATTGAAGCAGTTCTGATCTATACGCTGAATCCCACTCTTTAGTTCTGTCGTATTCTATATTATATTGTGTATTTGTTGCAAAAAAAAGATTTAGTTCTGCTGTAGTTTTGTTTTACATTTCTGCTCCTTCTAATTGTAGCGAGGACAGATGGCTCGACAAAACACTTATGTCACTCTGTAAAAGATGTACGCCTGCAAAATTGTGCCATTGCACAAATCGCTCAAGCGATTTTTTGCATTCTGCTTCATCATCCCTTGATGTGCAATCAGCAAATAAGGAATCTGTGTGGAGAATCGCCGCAAATTTGAGAAGGATGTCGTATAATAAAGTTTATTTTTCTTTTCATTCGTCGTCTTTGTCCACCTTTCTTTGGCCAATCTGTTTTTCAGGTCAGATAAGACAGGAAGGGTCTATCGAAATGATTTGTTCTTCAATATCTACTCAGCACTTTTTAATACCTGGAGAGGAGAGGAGAGGAGAGGAGAGGAGGAATGAGAGCGGTTAAAGTAAAAAAAAAAAAGAAGGGACACAATAAAGGTGGAATGAAGAAGAGATGAAAGCAAATCTGATAATGATCAAAGAAATAGATAGAAAGGAAGTTGAGAGAACAAAGAAAATTATGAAATGAGAAGAGGTGTGGCAGGAAAGTAAATGTTACGATGGTGTGACAGAATGTGTGTGTGCATGTGTGTGTGTGTGTGTGTGTGTGTGTGTGTGTGTGTGGTCTACTTTTGCAAACACCCACCCCTACCCTCAACCCCGCAACCAGACACACACACACACACACATCTGACGATTTGGCATCATAACACACTTGGCAAAGAACTGGTCAATCTGGCCAACAGAAGGAGAGAGAGGAGAAAAAACGAGTGGAAGAAGACAGAAAGAGGGGACTGAAAAATGATTTTGACATTTCATTCTGTCTCTGTGTGTGTGTGTGTGTGTGTGTGTGTGTGTGTGTGTGTGTGTGTGTGAGGCACCCTCACTGTAACAGTAAACCACATTTACTATTTGGAGAGAGATGAAAACAGATATATGTGATAAAAGATGCATTAGGACGTTAACGTGACATAATCAGTTTTACTCACCTATAGACGTCGTGGCTGGAACTGGCTCTTTGGACACTGAACATGACGTCAACACATGATGGAGGGAAACAGTGAAATCAGTCAGAAACAGCGATGACGCCAACTAACATTAATCAGCACCAAGTAACAGAGTAATAGTCAGCGGTAAAATCTGATGAGTACACAGCCCAGTTTCTCAGCTGCGACGTGGTGTCATTCATAAAGATCGTTTGTCCGGTCGCAACAACAGCTGCAGGCAACTCCACGGCTGTTACAGCAATTGAATCACAGCCTAAAGCAGCAGCAAAGATGAAGTGTGTGCACGAGTGTGTGTGTGTTGAAGTGTGCACCTGAGTAGTAGGAGTTCAGCAGGGATTTGCTCTGCAGCGTCTTGCTTCCCTGCACAGAGAAGGAGCAGGTGGAGGGGGAGGCTGGGGAGGAAACAGACGGAAGGAGATGTGTTAGAAAAAAGGAAGGAGAAGGGGGTTGAGGGGGGACAAGTGGAAAAAAAAAAAAAAGACAATGAGGAGGGAGAGGTGAGGTGTGGGACAGAAGAAAGGTAACAGGGGAGAAGAAGATGTAAACGGAGAAAATCAAAGGAGAGAGGAGGAAAGATGAGAACAGATGTGAGCGGGGAAGACAGGAGGTGAGGAGGAGTTTGGGGAATAGGAAAGAAAAAGACAATATCATGTAGAGGACAGATGGTAAAGCACAAATCAGGAGAAAGAGAGAAACCAGGAGGAGAGACGGATAGGTCGTTGACCTCATTTTAAAAAAATCCATCATCATATGACACAATTAACAATAACAACATACACAGAGTAGATCAATGCTCCATATTCAACAGCGTGAACAATCCAATAACTCTTTTAGCAGCATCAGTGCCACTGATATTGAGTTTTGACCATAAAGTGGCTCTGCGTCGACGAGCGTGCACTCAAATCTGAAATACTTTATATTGTTCGTCAATACAAAGAGTGATCTAGTGGCTTGTGTTAAAGAGAGGGAAGTTTGAGAACAGGATAAATATCTGTCTGTCCGGTGAAGGTCCCATCATGAAGAATGATGAGTTGTTTTCCTGGGAAAATGGTGAAAATGTAAAAAAAGAAAAAGTTAAATAAAGTTGGAAACGAAATCCTGGACATTCTTGGCACTTGATCCAATGAAGGTAGTTTTTTATATAATCCTTCCGACAAACAAAGAGCGTAGGACTGTCTGAAGGGGGGGCAGTGATGACGATACGTGGAGGAAGCTTGTCGTCGTTAATGTCTCCTGTGTCATTAAGTCCGACTACATCCAGGGGTAACGTAGGAAGGCAAGTGTCACTGACTTTAATTTGATTCCAGTGGTCAAGGAAACCTGCTCAGGTTCATTTTAGAATACAGGACAAGATGGTGAACATCAATTGAACGTCAGAAGGTCTTAAGTTACGAACTGCCAGCAGATGTTAGGCACCAACACCAGGAGCACCACCGTGTTCTGGACAATCTGGAAAGGTCTCGACAGAAGGGCATCTGTCAGTAACAAAGGCCGAGGGGGAGACAGATGGAAGAGGAGAACTTGTCCTCGAACTTTTCCTCTAACTTGACACTCTGGGTTTCTCGGGGTGAAGAAGTTTTTATAGATGTCGATGTTGCAGCGCTGGAAGGATTCGTTCAGTCTCACAGAGGTTTATGTCGAAGGTGGCGCTCCGTCGTCCACGAGGATGTGTCAGAGACAGAAGATGCTTCAAGAACGTGGTGTCGTCCACATCACAGTGTTATGAGAAGACACGGGAGCGGGTTATTTCTTCCTGTGGCCGGGGGAATAAATGTCTCAGTAGAAATAAATGCCTCCGGACACCGGTACTCTGATGATGTATATCTGTACTCAGAGTCAACGTGATGGGAATAAAGGTGGTGGTCTGAATTGTAAACTTTACTTAACTAACTTCACTTCCTCGCTGCCTCCGGACCCATTACAGTGGTCTATCAGATTGCTATTGCCAGTTTAAAACAGCCACTGCGGTAATAAGGTCGACAGACCAAAGCATATAGTTAGAGTCCAGCTGAGCAGATATATATCATCCCCGATAAACATAATTCACCAGCAGGGCTTGCTTTCTTAAACAGTGAGTGATGGCTGCTACGTCCCCGCAGACACACTCTATCTCTCTCACACACACACACACACACA